AGGTGGAACTTTTTTGCAGAGATAAAAGCAAATGTGAGGTATATAAGTCACTTGGCTTTCCCTACAGTGCTATAGCCCTTATAAGGTGCTTACGATACCTTTGGCCTTTTTTGAAACTCTTCCCCAATCCAGTGGAACATGAGCTCTTGCCCTCAATTCAGTCTCTGAGTTCAGGTTCAAAGGCAGTGGGGATGGGAAGAACCTGACTCAGCTCCTTTTCCTCCCACGCCTGCCCTGCTGCACTACACTGTGTTGTATTTCACGCTTTAGTCATCGAGCCAGAAGTGAGGAAACCAAAAAGAAATTCTTTCCAGAGTTACATGTCGTGTCTAAATTCTCTTAGGTAGAGTGGAAAGCAAAAGCTACAGAGGCAATTAAAAAAAAAACTTCCAGTTAGTCCAGGCATGGCCAGCTGTATGAAGTCCCAGCTACTCAGGTTGATGAAGCAGGAGGGTCACTTGAACTCAGTAGTTTTAAGTGGAGCCTGCCAAGTTCAACATAGCAAGACCTTGTCTCCAAAGACTAAAATAAAATAAATAAAATAAAATTGCGTGTTCCTTTAAAATCTGGAAATCTACAAAGGAGAATGGGTGTTCCTTTAAAATCTGGAAATCTACAAAGGAGAGGAAGGCAATAAAGAAAGAAGAGAGCAGCGAACAGATCCCATAAAACAGGCCCCCAAGTATCTTTGTGTTGTGGAAAAACACCATTTGTTCAGAAGGAAATACCCATTTCCCAAGTCGTTTCATTTACAGCCTACTAACTGCACAGTTGATTGATTTGCTGTAAAATATTGTTGCCAGAGAAATGGTTTTTGAGGGGACTGACAAAAGGGGGGAAATAAGCATAGATTCCAATGTTAATGATGTGTCCCATGTGTGCAGTGTTTTTAGGAGCTTAGTGTCTCCACTCACACGGCCTCTTCTCACTCTCATGCTTATCTTGCCACATGGATGTGACTGAGCTAGGTGGGGGATGAAAACTGCCTGAAATCTGGTTCTTCTTTCCCCACTGATACCTAGTAAGGTGTAGGGCCAGAGTGATGGCCCAGCCCCTTGAAGCCTGTTTCCAACCCTACCATGTTTTCTCCCGAGAGAGACCTCTAAGATGGTAAGGAAGCATTTTAGTGGTTAAATGCTCTAATGGGGTTGTTGAGGGAAGCAGGTGGATCACTGGTAGAGGGCCAGCCTAGCTCTAATGTGATACCAAGGAAGAACATGAATTTGTTTCTTGGGGATGCTTTAAAGACAGGTGCAGTTTAGCTCTCAGCCCTGGGTGCTTTGATATTACCAACCCAAAGATAAAGAAAGGGTGGACTGGACCCTGCGGACGCTCAACAACTCTGAAGCCAGCAGGTCCCCAGCAGCAGTGGGATGGTGGGATTTTATTGCTCACTCTTCATTCTGCCAATATCTTAGATTTCAAACACATGCTGTATTGTATTGTATTGAAGGAGATTTTAATTGTGTGAGTAAAGATGGAACACGATTATAGCTCTTGCCAGTCAAGGTCAATGTCAAGGTCAAGATCTGCACTAAAATGAACTCTTAACACAAGGGTGGGGGGCATTATCTGGGGCCCAGGACAGCATGCAGTCAATCAGGTTCCACTGACAGGCTTCAAGGCAGTCACGTGAACTCTGGGAAATTACACACACACGCACACACACGCACGCACGCACGCACATGTGTGTGCCTTTTGCTCTCGTAAAAAATATCCAGAGCTCTATCTTCAAAAGTGACCCCCAAATGGTTGTGAAGCCCCTGTTTTTGAGGCTTTTTTGAACCATTGGTAGACTTGGCATCTTTTACCCTAAGGCACAGAGGTGAGTCATTCTTTAAGCTCAAGATTTTCCCATGACCAGTCAGAATAAGAAGATCCTCAGCACAGATCTCTATGATTTCTCCATCCTAAAGGGCACTTTCTGACACAGGCACTGAAACCTGCAGGGCCACAAGCCACAGTGATCATTCTGTGCCATCCACTGTTTTGGAGCCGAGTAACCTTGATGCTGCAGCCTGAAAAAGTCCATGTCAATCATGAACAGAGCTCACTGATGAATAAGTTCCTAAATAAATCATGGTCATATAAAGTTACCGGGTGATGGGTTAGTCTATAAAAAGATCCACTCTTTAGTGCCAGTTTTGAGTCCAAATGCAAAATTTCCACTAAATCAGTGGGACTCCACCAGGAAACAACGATGTGATGGATAAGACACATGCCAAGACCCACGCACTATCATCCTAGACCCCATAAAAAAGAACCCCATCTAGGGAGGAGGGAAGTTAAGGGTTGTACAAGTTAGCTTCTTAGTTCTCCAAAGAAGGTTCTGAGAGAAAAGATCAATCTTGTTTGGCTGGGAGTATGGCTTAAATAGTAGAACACCTGTCTGGCAAGCGAAAGGCCCTGAGTTCAAACCCTAATCACATAAATACATTGCATGTGTAACCTGGGTGCCTACATTCGAACTGCCCTATTGTAATCATGTGGTACCTGCCACCTTTCTATTTAAGGCTCACAGGCTGCAGTTCGCTTTAGGAAACATTTAGTTACTCAAAAAGAATTCTCTTCAAAGTGTTCTTTTTACTTGTCTGAACCCCAGGGAGGATATGATCCTAATAATCCTTGAATAATACACAGGACCAAGGAAAATTTCTTCTAAGAAAGCAAAGATCATTTAACCTTAGAGCAACAAATGTGTTCCTGGTTCTTTTGATTTCAGTTTTTCAGATATTGTCCCAAGCTTTGTCCAGGCTGGCCTGGGACTGCCATCCTTCTTCCTCTGCTTCCGGAGTGGCTTTACTTCTTATGATGTAGACCACTACCCTCAGCTTATCTATTGAGATGGGGTCTTTGTAACTTCTTTCCTTGGCTGACCTCAAACCCCAATTTTCTTAACCTCTCTCTCCTGAAGTTGCAGCTTGCAACCGCAGGCATACCCCACTACATCTGGCCCCTCTACAGCAAAATCTTGAGGAAAATTGTCTATGATCATTCCTTCAGCCCCTTCTCATATATATATAGATATAGATAGATAGATACTGATATAGATATACATATATATCAATATCTATATGGCTTTTCTTGCTATTCTCCTCTTGATGGGTCCTATTTGGCAAGAGGGCTCCAGTTTGGGACAGGCCCCCTTGGGGCACATACTGGAAAGGACTGTGCCCATTCCTCCTCCTGTACCATTGACACCCCCTAACCCCATTGACACTGTGCAGCAGCATCTAACACCATTGCCTGCTCTCTTCTCTCCACCCTCCATGCCTTTCTAGCACCTCTCAGCCCTCGGTGTCTGCAGTCACTGACTGAGCCCTGTGATCTCTTCCTCAGTCATGTCCCCTCCTAAAACGTCTAGTCACTAATGACCCTTGATTTCTATCTCGAGACCTTCCTCTCTCCAGAGTCTAGATTCATAAATCCTAGGTACCTACTTGAAATCACTTGTACGTCCAATGGACACCTCAAGGCCAACCCATCCAGGTCAGCCCAAGCAGAAAAGTCTGGAAGACCCTATTGCAACAGAAGAAACTGAATATGACAGTGTATGCCTGCCATGCCAGCTATAGTAGGAAGCTTAAAATAGGCAGATCTCAGTCCAGGCACCTCAGCAGAAAGTGAGACCTTTTCTCAAAATTAACCAGTTCAAGCCAGGTGTCCGTAGTTCACTCCTATGTACTCCTAGCTACTAGGGAGGCTGAGATCTAAGGATCTCAGTTTGAAGCCAATCTAGGCATAAAAGTCTGTGAAACTCATCAAATTAATCACCAAAAAGCCTGAAGTAGAGCTGTAGCTCAGGTGGTAGGTAGAGTACCCAGGCCCTGAGTTCAAGCCCCAGGACCAGGACACATACACACACACACACACACACACACACACACACACACACACACACACACACACACACACACACACACACACACACACACACACACACACACACACACACACACACACACACACACACGGACTGATGGAAACAGAAAACAACCTAAGTTGGGCTATGGTCTAGCCCAATGATCTAGCACCTACCTAGCAAGCACAGGGCCTTGAGGGCCTTGAGTTCAAAACCCAGGACTCAAAAATGGTCTAAGCTTTCCCTAAGTGGTGAATCATGGATGGGTGACTTTTCTTTTTTTACTGTAATGTTTGTAGTTTACTGTAGTTTTTATTTTTTTCCAATGATGACTTCTCTCAGGAATTATTTTTAAACCATAATTATAGTTAAGTCATCTTAGTTTTTCCTTCCTTCCTTCCTTCCTTCCTTCCTTCCTTTCTTCCTTCCTTCCTTTCTTCCTTCTTTCCTTCCTTCCTCCTTCCTTTTCTTCTCTCTTGCACAGCTAATTATTGGCTCTTATACCAGTGGCAGGACAATTTTACTTATTGTTGACTCTTTCTCTTGAGAATATTTGGTCTGGATCCTGAATCACACCTCTGTGGAGTGACAGTACTAGTCATTGCAAACTATCTGCCAGGGCCCATCCAGTTTGAGACAGGCCTCCTTTCCTGCCAAGAAACAGGTATCTATAGGCAGGGAAACCTACGGTTTCGTGGCAGGTGCTCTGCCTCCTCTCTTGCTGCTTAGGGTGACACAGTCATGCATGCCTTACCCTCTGCTTCATTCAGCCTGCCTCTTGAGGCCCGTTGCCCTCAGACACCTCCTTGCCCTCTCCTTCCTGTGCCCAGGAGTAGCCATGTTGTTCATGCTTTTCAGAGAGTATGCCCATGAGGGAGATGGGGAGAAGCATGATCCTCCATCACCTTTGTCATTACCTGAACCTGGGTGGGACTTGCACTCTACAGACCACAGGGACCCTGTGAGATTGTAGTTAACCCGTTCCTTTGTCCAGCAGCCCAGCTTTGGGCCAGGTATTCCTTTATTTATACTCCATTGCGTTCTCATGCATCCTTCTTGGGGCCCACGGAACTTGAAAGACCTCCACAGTTGATTTGATTGGGCTTTACTTAACATTCTTTAACTTTTCTTTTTACAGCTGAAACTTTGGAACAAATACCGAATTTCCAACATTCCATCACTCATTTTCCTAGATGCCACCACTGGAAAGGTTGTGTGCAGGAACGGCCTCCTGGTGATCCGAGATGACCCAGAAGGTAAAGCCCTGCTGTGTTCTTCTGTGCTCTAATCCCCAGACTCCCCCACTTACCAGCCCTGGCCGCCTCCTCCTCGTTGGTGGAGAGGATGCTAGTGTGATATACATAAGTGGTTGAGTTGGCTGGCTAGGGAATGCTGTCTTGATGAAATGATGGTATTCTCCTGGTCATGGTTAAGATTTTAAAAGGGATCCAAATGTCCCTCCTGGGGCCTTTAACTCATGGGCAGAAGCAGATGGAGTCTGGAAAAGGAAGTTCAGCATGGAGGGCCGAGGAGTATGTTGAAAAGCGCAAGAACCCAGACACTGCCCTCTTGTGCTGTTTCAGCAGTGGCTGACACTTGGCAGCTAGAGGCAGGCAAAGAGGAGGGTTTGTTTTTCCTCTTTAAATATAGCTGTCACTTATCTGAAATGCTTGAAGGAAGAAATAGTTTGTATTTTGAAGTTTTTCAGATTTGAAGTATTTGCAGAGACTATCAGTTGAACATCCTTCATCTGAGAACTCTGGAATCTGAAATATTAAAACTTTTTGAGCGCTAGCGTGGCTTTCGAAGCTTTAGATGGCTCAAGCCTATAATCCTGCCATTTTGGGAGGCTGAGATTCCAGAATCAAGGTTCAAAGTCAACCTAGGAAGACAAATCAGTCTCAGGTTGAACCAGCCAAAAGCCAGCCAGAAATAGAGGTGTGGCTGGAGTGGTAGAGTACAAATTGTGAGCCTGATTGAGAGCCAGTTCAAGCCCCAGTGCTGGCAGAATACACATGAAAAAAGGTTTTTGACCTGAGGATTGGGGATTAAAGGTGTTCCATCTGTCTCATCACAGCAAAGTCACAGTCCCTTTGTGGCTCTCCTGGCTTTGTGCCAAATGCACCTTATTTCTTGGTGCTGCCTAAGTCCTGCAGACTGTTGCTGGCCAGCTGGCCAATGCCACACACCGAGGAGGCTGCTCTGACCTCTGCCCAGTGGCTGACAAGGATCTGCTTTTGTCCATGCGTATTGAAGTGACAAGAGATCTCCCTTCTCCCACCAATCCAGTTAGAACTGAAGCCCTGGCCCTGGTCAGCCATTTTCCCAAAAAACAACAACAACAACAAAAAAAACTTCCCATGTAGAAAAATTTACCCTCTGTAAAAAGCAGGGCATGAGGGAACCAACTCCTTTTCAGGTTTAAGTGCTGATCCCTTTAACATACAGTCTTCCCTCCCCTCTGACAGTTTTAACAACAGTCCTACTCCTCCCCCCTCCAGAGAGGTTTGTATTCTTTTGTTTCATGGTGGGCTTGCCACCTGCTTTTAACTGGTCCCTGCCTCTCTCTTCCATCTTCTGCCCATCCCCTTGGGCAATTTTGAGGCAGTGGGCCTCGGACCACCCAGTGAGAAAATACTGCTGTGTTGTGCTGGGAGCCTATTATTTACTCTCCTGTCTGGAGCTTAAATATCTCAGAATATGTCCAGCATAGAGAATAGGAAGGTTTCACTCTACAGTTCATGAAACTTAAGTTCTCACTTGGTTCCCCAAGTCCCAGCCCAGATCCAAATCTCTGGGAATCAGGCCCCAAATGCATTCTCTTTTGAAGTTTCCCCAGTGGATTCAAATGTGCAATCAGACTTAAGAACTACTAAGATGCCGGGACTGGTATTGGCTTACCTCCTCTGAGTTACCTGTGGAGTCTGTTCTGTTTGTTTCATTGTACATCTGAAGCCTTCCTTCTGCATCCTAAGATGGCCCCTGGGAGGTGGGTTTTGTGCTCATCCAGGCCAGGGACCACTGTTTCAAGGGTAGCAGGGCTTGCTTGGCTTTGGATGAGTCCCCACTTTGGTTTCCTTGTTAACTGAGGGTCCTGTGACTGTCTTTACAAATGCCATCTGATCATGGGGTTGCACCTGCAGCCAGAAGGCTTTCCCAGTCCCAGGCTATCACAAAGAGCCTTGACATTCTTGCCCTCTGTTGCCTTGTTTCAGGTCTGGAATTCCCTTGGGGACCTAAGCCCTTCAGGGAAGTCATTTCCGGGCCCTTGCTTAGAAATAACGAGCAGTCGTTGGAGAGCAGCAGTCTGGAGGGGTCTCACGTGGGAGTCTATTTCTCCGCACACTGGGTGAGTGTTTGGTCCCTCCCTAGTTCAGGCAGAAGGATGCACCAAGCCTTCCTATGGTTGGCTTCTGGAGATGTGAACACTTGGCAGGTATTCCTTGGCCTTCTTGTCCTCTGCACCTTGTTGGTAGGCAATAAGCACTTTATGAACAATGACAGCAGCAAGACAATGACTTCTTCAGCCCATTCTGATGAGCTTCTCTAAGGGTCCCTAAGGAACTATACTAACCGCTGCCTCCTGACATACCGTATGGCCTGGGCAGAGCCCGGGCTGGATTCTCCCCAAGAAGAGAGATGAGCTTATTTTCTTCTCTTATGAACTGAGTCTACAGGTTAGTCCTACTTGGGTCTTGCTTATCTGGCCCCTGATAGCACATCATTGGTCCTGCTCTTGTCTTTCAGTGCCCTCCCTGCCGAAGCCTCACCAGGGTGCTGGTGGAATCCTACCGGAAGATCAAGGAGGCAGGCCAGCAGTTTGAGATCATCTTTGTTAGTGCAGACAGGTAATGTGTGCCAATGAAGTGACTGTCCTGTAACTGCTCCATATGTGGTTAGCATTCATACCTTTTGCCTCACATTGCTTACTTTCTTGTTGTGGAGCATGGAGGGTAGGAGATGGGATTATTGGCAGAGGGGCCAATACATTTCCTGTCAGACTCATTTAATTGTCTGAAGGGAGCCTAGAAAAACCTCTTACTGCTGGAAACACTAAACATATCCCAGTCCAAGCCTGGATTATTTGAGATTAGGATGTGTTTTCCATTTTATTCCATTTCTAAATCATGAGGAAAAGATATAGAGGGGTATGGAAGAGAGCCACAAACTAATGCAATGTGACATCTATCTTGGATGGATATGCAATCATTTTCTTAGCTCTGGTAGCTCTGGTCACACACTCTGGCTAGAACCATTTGGACCTGAATGGATAAATAATCACAAAAACAAGGGTGGAGGGTGGGGGATGTTCTTCCCTGAGGAAGTCAAGTCCTTTCGGTCTTAGTTTCACCCACTTCTTTCCTCCTGTCCTGTTTTACTCATCAGTGAGCATCCTTTAGCTCAGAACTCTGGCCTCAATCCAGACTTAGTTGCCAGATGCTTCTGCCTCCTAAGGGCCCTGTTCACAGGAGGATCTCTAAGATGCCAGCATACCAGAGGCCTTTTGCCCATTACTGTGTCCTGTTGAACTTCCCATGCTGTTAATTACCTTGTGGTCCTGGGGAGTGGGGGCAGAGAGGAAGGGGGGGGCGCAAGCCTGATGGCGTGCCACATGGCACACACATTTTTAGAAAGCTTTAAATAGCTTTCCAGTTTAAATCACCTTTATTGAAATCTAATTTCAACACCATACATTCTATACATTTTAACTAAACTGTTTTATCTACTGTGTCTACCCGTGTAACCAACACCCACAAGGTTCCTCTGTACTCCCTTCTTGATCATTCCCCACCCTCGAGCCCAGCCCCAGGGAGGCTCTGATCGGCTATTACTTGAGTAGATTGGTTTTCCCTGGAGTTCCTAACACATGCAATCATACACTTGGTTTTAAATGTATGATCCTGTACATATCACAGCTCCCTATGCAAATTTGAAATCATGTGGCATGGGGCAGTGCGTACTTCTAAGCTCACTGTAAAAGTTGGCCTGTCTGTGTTGAGAAAGGAAAGTCGGGCATGAGTGTAGTTGTCTGGACACAGGTGAGGACATTGACATGACCCACTTGCCACTTTCCTTTGGCTCTGCCTGCAATGTGGAGGCCTTTGCTTCTTGGTGAGTACCAGAATGGACAGGATAGCACCATCCATGGTCTGACATCAGAGGAAGCACCAGAATTAGGAATTCTGACATAGCAACCTGGGAAACCGGTGAGAGGACCAGGTGGTGGTTGCGCACTGGATAATTGTGCCTTGTTTTCCATCTGTCTCCCTGTAGATCAGAGGAGTCATTCAAACAGTATTTCAGTGAGATGCCCTGGCTCGCTGTCCCCTACACCGATGAAGCCCGGCGGTCACGCCTCAACCGGCTTTATGGAATCCAAGGTAGGCATCCCAGGCCCTGCTCCCATGGGGCTTCTTGGATGATAACCTGGGCTCATCACACCTTTGGTTCCTTTTTGCAGAAGAACACTTGTATTTCCATAAGTGTTCACATTCCTCACCATCTTAAAAATTACTTGAGATAAGTTTTATGGTATGTAACTTACACCTCATTCTAACGGCTTGCTTTTTTGTTTTGTTTTTAAGTACTCTCCTGGTTAGATAACTGCTTCTCACCTGTGGCAGGGTGGCTTCTGATATGCGTAGGCATCGACCATATACTTCAAAATGACTTGGCCAAAACTCTGTCGCAGTGGTCTTACTTCCATACAGACCGAAGAGTGATCTTTGGTCCCATCACTTAGTCTTGAGCCTCAGTTTCTTCCTCTGGAAAGTGGGAATGATGAACCTCTGACAAAGAATCTCTAGGAAGCTGGGCACTGGTAGTTCACACCTGTAATCCTAGTTAGTAAGGAGGCTGAGATCTGAGAATTGCAGTTCGAAGCCAGCCTGAGCAGAAAAAGTCCTTGTGAGACTCATCTCTACTCAAAAACTCGAAGTGGAGCCGTGGCTCAAAGTGGTAGAGCACTAGCCTTATAAACACTTTTCCTGTTCCCAAAGCATCATGGTTGGAGCTGAGTAAGAATCACCTTTCAGGGGAGGAAACTTCCTGAATGATGAGAACTAGGGCTTTGAATACTAATGGTGGTATTCTTCAGACATAATGATTATAGAGAAACAAACTAGATTCTTTTTCTTTTTTATGTGACTACCTCCTTTCCAGACTTCACTTTTTCTTGATGCAGTACTTAATTGCCAGTGTAAGAGTCAAATTAGGAGTGTAAGGAGTGGGGAGGGAGAAATTTAGTAGTAGAGAGCTTGCCTACATTCCATCCCAGCACCCCTCTTGCTTTGTCCTTTCTCGTGTGGGATTCACTTCTTCACCCCCAAAATGACTCTGGAATAACTTAGACATGGCTGCCTTCATAACTGTTCAGTAGGAAAAGGAGTTCCTTCCATCTCGCCTAACCCACCAGGCTATGGTACAGGCTCCATTGCTGGCTTATGGCTGACTAGGCCCCAGGTCTTTCCTAAGTGTTAATATGACTTTGGTGCCATAGTTTGGTGCAGCTGTGCCCTGCCTCATCTGATGAACCTGGATTTTTACACTTGGCCTTCTAACAGTACTGTGACACCCTGGCTTTTTGCAAAAATCATACACACCAATAGGTGTCCTTTATGCGTGACCTCTCTGACTCCTAACAGGTTCCTGGGCCATGGTGTGGGCACGCTTCTTCTCCTTACAGCCTGTGTGGGGGTGTGCAGATGTGCATAAACAGACTCTGGTACAGTTGAGCTTTGGAACACTCATAAATGACTGAGGAGATATTTCAGAGCAGAACAAGATTGTGCAATGTGTCCAGTGTCCTACCTCTATCAGGCCCAGTTCTCCTGGATCATTGTTGGTTCTCATTTCTTTCCACATTCACTGATGCCACCACCTTAATATAGGTCCAGCACTGGCCCTGCCTTACTACTGAGTGGCCTTGAGCAAGTCACTGAAGATTTCTTTTCTCAATAAATTTGGACATTTCAGTTTTGGGCACAGAGAAAGAACATTACAGATATTTGTTGACTAACTCAGAAAGGAGAAAAAAAGGAAAAATCTGATCTTACATTTTTTGAAAGATAAGCTGGGTGCTGGTGGCTCACGCCTGTAATCCTAGCTACCCAGGAGGCTGAGATCTGAGGATTGCTGTTCAAAGCCACCCAGGCAGGAAACTCCGTGAGACTCTTATCTCCAATTAAGCACCAGAAAACCAGAAGTGGCACTGTGGCTCAAGTGTTAGAGCACTCACCTTGAGCTGAAGAGCTCAGGGAGACAGCGTCCAGGCCCAAAATTCAAGCCCCATGACCAACAACAACAAAAAAAGGAATCAGTATCCTTTAAGAAGAGCCTTTTCCAGATAGAATTTTAGAAAGACAGCTAATTTATAAAAATATATGAAGGTAGGGCTGGGAAGGTGGCTCAGTGGTAGAGCACTTGCCTTGCATGCCTGAGGCCCTGGGTTCAATTCCTCAGCACCACATAAGCAAAAAGAAAAAAGCTGGAAGTGGCACTGTGGCTCAAGTGGTAGAGTGCTAACCTTGAGCTGAAGAGCTGAGGGACAGTGCCCAGGCCCAGAGTTTAGGCCCCAGGACTGGCCCCCCCCCCCAAAAAATATATATGTAATTTATATATGAAATATATATATATATACATATATATATATACATATGAAGGCAATCTATCCAATACATTTACCAGTATGGATCTGAAAAATATTCAGCATAAATAATTTCATGATTTCAGATGAAAATACTGAATTTGTTTCTGTCGTATTTGCTTAAAATGATCATCCCATCCCCGTGTAAGGAAGAGAGCAGACTGCTGGTATAGAGTGTGAATCAGGACAACTGTTGGTAAGAGAAATTTGGCAACTATACCTCAGCAGCCTTAAAAATCTTCAAAACCCTTAATTTAGAAATCCCTCTTAAAGGAATTTATCATTGGTAAATTAACCTACAATACCTAGTAAAAGTCAAGCTTCTCCTGAGCAGGTAATGGGTTTATTTTGTTTGTTTCTTTGTTTACTTTTGGGAGCAGTACTGAAAATCAAACCTAGGGCCTTATATACGTTGGGCAAGCATTCTACCATTCAGCTATATACTCCCTGTACTTATTATTTGGGATAAGAATGCAGGGCCTTGTGCTTTCTAGACAGGCACTCCACCACTTGAGCCAGCCCTTTCTTGCTTCTAGTTATTTTTTCAGATAGGGTCTCTTGTTTTTGCTTGAAGCCAGCCTGGACCTTGATCCTCCTAACTATGCCTCTCAAGTAGCTGGGACCCGAGGCTTATGCTACCAGTGCTCAGCTTGTTATTGAGATGGAATATTACTAACTTACTGCCTGAGTTGGCCTTAGAACCGCTGTACTTACTGCTCTCTGCCTCCTAGATAACTGGTTACATGTGTGAGCCACTACTCCTGGCCTTTTGTTGTTGTTGGTCATGGGGCTTGAACTCTGGGCTTGGGCGCTATCCTTGTGCTCTTCAGCTCAAGGTGAGTGCTCCACAGCACCACTTCCAGTTTTCTGGTGAAGGTAGCTCAGTGGTAGAGCGCTTGCCTTGCATGCCTGAGGCCCTGGGTTCGATTCCTCAGCACCACATAAGCAAAAAGAAAAAAGCTGGAAGTGGCGCTGTGGCTCAAGTGGTAGAGCGCTAGCCTTGAGCTGAATGGCTGAGCGACAGCGCCCAGGCCCAGAGTTCAGGCCCCACAACCGGACCCCCCCCCCCCCAAAAAAAAAAAAAAAAAAGAGTCTCACAGACTTTTCTGCTAGGACTGGCTTTGAACCGTGATCCTCAGATCTCAGCCTCCTGAATAGCTAGGATTACAGGTGTGAGCCACCGGCGCCTAGCATCTGGCCTATTTTTTATGAGGATTTTTTTTTTTTTTTTGGATCCGGTCATGGGGCCTGAACTCTGGGCCTGGGCGCTATCCCTCAGCTCTTCAGCTCAAGGCTAGCGCTCTACTACTTGAGCCACAGCTCCACTTCCGGCTTTTTTCTTTTTGCTTATGTGGTGCTGAGGAATCGAACCCAGGGCCTTGAGCATGCAAGGCAAGCGCTCTACCACTGAGCCACCTTCCCAGCCCCTGGCCTATTTTTTATATTCATACTTTATTTTTTGGTGTTAAAGGCCTCATGCATGCTAAACATGTGCTCTACACTGAGCTATACCCAGTACCAGGTTAGTTTTGTGTGTGTGTGTGTGTGTATGTGTGTGTTTTAATCTTTTGTATACTTTGAATTTCATTGTAGGCCACAATTCTTTGCTTTTAGCCCCTAGAAAAGTCATCTGAATTTGCAAGCACCTTTAGCAATTTTACAAAGCTTACCATTTCTGTGCATGACCTTGACCCTAGCTTTGTTCCTTTCCTTCTGCTTTCCCCTCAGGGCAATGTTTTCATCTATTTTTATTGGATTATATCATGCATTTTTAAGCTTCCTGAACTTTTTTTCTTTTTTGAAGAGTGGAGATAGCAATATAAAAGGTGATTTAAATGCAAGGATTCTATCTTCTGATGTAACTGACCACTTGTACTCTCTGCCTTAAGCGGGAAACCATGTGGCAGAAGCAATGCTAGCCTCTCGGACCGAATCTTTTTTTTTTTTTTTGGCTAGTCTTGGGACTTAAACTCAGGGCCTGGGCACTGTCCCTGAACTTCTTTTGCTCAAGGCTAGCGCTCTACCACTTGAGCCACAGTGCTACTTGAGGCTTTTTCTGTTGATGCGGTCCTGAGGAATTGAACCCAGGGCTTCATGCCTGCTAGGCAAGCACTCTACCACTAAGTCACATTCTTAGCCCTCAGATTAAATTTTAAAGTCAGATACCCCAAGTGTGCATGGATTTCTGGGTGCCTCCAAAACGTGAATGCCACGAGTTTGATTTCTGTTTCTAAATATAATTCTAGATTTTTTCAGGTTTGAATGATCCCTACTTTTTAAGGGAATAATTGCATTATTTTGGAAGTATCTTCTCCACACATCCAGGTTGCAGAAGGCTAGCAGTCAGGCCAGTGGCAACCTATCTATTCATAGTGCTGTGTCCTTGCTCATACATAGAATGAGTCTGGTCACTGTCAGAATTTTGCCCCTCCCATTCCTGATTCAAGTGCTATCATTTCTGCACTTCCTGGGGTCTTGGAAGCTAGCAGCTTCCCCCAGGGCTTGATTAGATTTTGCTTTTTCTGTTTTGTTTTTTTTTTTGGGTCCGGTCGGTCGTTGGGCCTGAACTCTGGGCCTGGGCGCTGTCCCTCAGCTCTTCAGCTCAAGGCTAGCACTCTACCACTTGAGCCACAGCGCCACTTCCGGCATTTTTTCTTTTTTGCTTATGTGGTGCTGAGGAATCGAACCCAGGGCCTCAGGCATGCAAGGCAAGCGCTCTACCACTGAGCCACCTTC